TCGCACAACGTGGACTAAGTTCGTTTCATTAAGTGCATTTTTCCTATTGTGTAGAGTCTTTTGTGGACACGACCTCCGAATGTCTCTGATTGTCTATTTAAACAGCTTTATTCTGTACATGCGCTGATGTCCAACAGAAATTTTATATATGATTCGATCTTACACGTGTCATGATTTATATAAACCAATATTAAGGATAATTAAAGTACATTAAACCAATATATAGTATAAAGTCAATATCCATTGATTTTTAAGAGTGTTGATAGTGCGTCCATGTGTCATGGAAAATTCATCTTCAGATAGATCTCATTTATTTCGAAAATTTTATACAATGGCAACGTTAGTGTAGTTGATGTAACGGCTTATCTGCTTTCATTTTTTTCCTTTCCATTGCTGCTGTTGTGAGGAAGTTTGAATCAAACCTAAATCACAAAATTCATTTGAAATTGTTTTTTTTTCGATTTCAGTCTTAGTGAAAATATAACTGTTCTTAGATCTTCTTCAAACATTTCATCTCGCCGCCATAATCATTCTTCCTCTGGATGAGATGTGTTTGTGACCAAGATTTTAGTCAGTTTTGTGGAAATAGCCTTTACCGCGAGGCATCTTTTGCATAGCAAAATTTTGTAATTTATCACAGAATGGACTATGGCTTTTAGAAATTTCAATTCCTGAAAAAAAAAGAAGAAGATGGAGGTTATGTTTAAGAAGGAACAAATTAACTTTTGAAATTTTTTAAAATGAAGTCTTCGCGTTTTGCTTAAAGTAATGTAATCACAGTTATATGTGTTATCTTCACTCGGCCGTGTATATTTTTTTTGAGCGAAGAACTTTTGAATTGAATTGATTTATGGCCACTACTGTCTACATAGTGTCTGTCTCTAACCTTCCCCTTATTGACATCCATTCCATTAGATTGGGCATGAAAAATTAATCGCGAAGAAATAAGGGTGTAGATGTCTTTCGATCATAATTATATTGAAAAAACAAATTATAGTAAATGACATTTAAAAAGAACAATTTCAGTGGTTGTGAAAGAAATCTCTTCATTTTTGGCTTAAATTAATTGCTTACTTTTTTTTACAGTACGTGAGAATTTCATGAATTTTAGTTTTGCCATCATAATTGTAGTATATGTAGTTGGTTGAAATAAGTACATGCGTATTTTTTTCACGCTTGTAATTGCCCAAAAAAATTTAAAGTTTCGATATAAGACACGTATCTGTGCATTACAAAAAGACCAAATCTTGCTGTTTTTTGGTTTATGTTGTTCTGTTGATGTTATTTTTGATCTTTGATCCATGTTTTGGTGTCTCTCTTCATATTTTTAGACTAATTATTTTTATTGGAAACAGCGGAAAATATCCGTGTACTCCTTTGTTTTCGCCTCTGAACTTGTTTTTTCTCACCTGTAGATTTCGTAACTTCCACATACTTATCCGCATTCGTAATGTGATATGTCTGATACAATTTACAACTATTACCTACTAATATAATTGCTTAGCATGCGGCTGCTAGCCTGTAGTGTGCTGCTCCTGATCAGCGTTAGGGCTGAACAGGTAGCCGAGGAATCGGAGGCAAAACCGCCAGCAGAGTCGCCATCTGACGATGAAGTAAAGGAATTCGATAAAGAAGGAGATGTTTATGTGCTTCACGACAAAGATTTTGATGCTTTCGTCAAAATGCATCCTACTTTCTTCGCGAAGTTCTATGCTCCCTGGTTGGTATTTTTGTAGCAATTTTTCGTTATGAATGGCATCAAATTCTAGAAAATCTGTAGTTCAAATTACTTAGTTTTTTTTT